AAGTTTAATAACAGGTTAATAACAAGTTACTAACAACTATAATAACAGGTTTAATAACAAGTTAATAACAAGTTTAATAACAAGTTTAATAACAAGTTAACAACAAGTTTAATAACAAGTTAATAACAAGTTAATAACAGGTTTAATAACAACTTAATAACAAGTTAATAATAATAATAATAATAATAATAATAATAAGAATAATAATAATAATAATTTTAATAATAGTAATAAGTATGCTTAGGTATTTTGGCGGGCCACGCACGCTCACCTTTAAAACGCGGGGCCGGGGTCCCGTGGCGGCAATTCAAATTGGGGTCCCGTGGCGGCAATTCAAATTGGGGTCCCGCGGCGAGGTGACCGTAACCCGCGCTCACCTTTAAACGCCGGGGCTATATAAGGCCGCCGCGCCAGTCATTTCGATTTTTGCGCATTCCCTCGATTTAAGATATTTCATCTTAAGAACTTCCTATCTTAAGAACTTCCTATCTTAAGAACTTCCTATCTTAAGAACTTCCTATCTTAAGAACTCTATCTTAAGAACTCTATCTTAAGAAGTCTATCTTAAGAACTTCCTATCTTAAGAACTTCCTATCTTAAGAACTTCCTATCTTAAGAAGTCTATCTTAAGAACTTCCTATCTTAAGAACTTCCTATCTTAAGAAGTCTATCTTAAGAAGTCTATCTTAAGAACTTCCTATCTTAAGAACTTCCTATCTTAAGAACTTCCTATCTTAAGAAGTCTATCTTAAGAACTTCCTATCTTAAGAACTTCCTATCTTAAGAACTTCCTATCTTAAGAACTTCCTATCTTAAGAACTTCCTATCTTAAGAACCCTATCTTAAGAACTTCCTATCTTAAGAACTCTATCTTAAGAACTTCCTATCTTAAGAACTTCCTATCTTAAGAAGTCTATCTTAAGAACTTCCTATCTTAAGAACTTCCTATCTTAAGAACTTCCTATCTTGAGAACTCCCTATCTTAAGAAGCCTATCTTAAGAACTCTATCTTAAGAACTTCCTATCTTAAGAAGTCTATCTTAAGAACTTCCTATCTTAAGAACTTCCTATCTTAAGAACTTCCTATCTTAAGAACTTCCTATCTTAAGAACTTCCTATCTTAAGAACTTCCTATCTTAAGAAGTCTATCTTAAGAACTTCCTATCTTAAGAACTTCCTATCTTAAGAACTTCCTATCTTAAGAACTTCCTATCTTAAGAACTCTATCTTAAGAACTTCCTATCTTAAGAAGTCTATCTTAAGAACTTCCTATCTTAAGAACTTCCTATCTTAAGAACTTCCTATCTTAAGAACTTCCTATCTTAAGAACTTCCTATCTTAAGAACTCCTATCTTAAGAACTTCCTATCTTAAGAACTTCCTATCTTAAGAACTTCCTATCTTAAGAACTTCCTATCTTAAGAACTCTATCTTAAGAACTTCCTATCTTAAGAACTTCCTATCTTAAGAAGTCTATCTTAAGAAGTCCCTATCTTAAGAAGTCTATCTTAAGAACTTCCTATCTTAAGAAATTGGGGCGGTCCGATGGGGCAATTCAAACTGGGGTCCCGTGGCGGCAACCAAATTGGGGCCCCGGCGAGGTGACCGTAACCCGCGCTCACCTTTAAACGCCGGGGCTATAAGGCCGCCGCGCCAGTCATTTCGATTTTTGCGCATTCCTCGATTTAAGATATTTCATATTAAGAACTTCCTATCTTAAGAAGTCTATCTTAAGAACCCTATCTTAAGAACTCTATCTTAAGAACTTCCTATCTTAAGAACTTCCTATCTTAAGAACTTCCTATCTTAAGAACTTCCTATCTTAAGAACTTCCTATCTTAAGAACTTCCTATCTTAAGAACTCTATCTTAAGAACTTCCTATCTTAAGAACTTCCTATCTTAAGAACTTCTATCTTAAGAACTTCCTATCTTAAGAACTTCCTATCTTAAGAACTCCTATCTTAAGAACTTCCTATCTTAAGAACTTCCTATCTTAAGAACTTCCTATCTTAAGAACTTCCTATCTTAAGAAGTCTATCTTAAGAACTTCCTATCTTAAGAACTTCCTATCTTAAGAACTTCCTATCTTAAGAACTTCCTATCTTAAGAAGTCTATCTTAAGAACTTCCTATCTTAAGAACTTCCTATCTTAAGAACTTCCTATCTTAAGAACTTCCTATCTTAAGAACTTCCTATCTTAAGAACTTCCTATCTTAAGAACTTCCTATCTTAAGAACTTCCTATCTTAAGAACTTCCTATCTTAAGAAGTCTATCTTAAGAACTTCCTATCTTAAGAACTTCCTATCTTAAGAACTTCCTATCTTAAGAAGTCTATCTTAAGAACCCTATCTTAAGAACTCTATCTTAAGAACTTCCTATCTTAAGAACTTCCTATCTTAAGAACTTCCTATCTTAAGAACTTCCTATCTTAAGAACTTCCTATCTTAAGAACTTCCTATCTTAAGAACTCTATCTTAAGAACTTCCTATCTTAAGAACTTCCTATCTTAAGAACTTCCTATCTTAAGAACTCTATCTTAAGAAGCCTATCTTAAGAACTTCCTATCTTAAGAACTTCCTATCTTAAGAACTTCCTATCTTAAGAACTTCCTATCTTAAGAACTTCCTATCTTAAGAACTTCCTATCTTAAGAACTTCCTATCTTAAGAACTCTATCTTAAGAACTTCCTATCTTAAGAAGTCTATCTTAAGAACTTCCTATCTTAAGAACTTCCTATCTTAAGAACTTCCTATCTTAAGAACTCTATCTTAAGAACTTCCTATCTTAAGAACTTCCTATCTTAAGAAGTCTATCTTAAGAACTTCCTATCTTAAGAACTTCCTATCTTAAGAACTTCCTATCTTAAGAACTTCCTATCTTAAGAAGTCTATCTTAAGAACTTCCTATCTTAAGAAGTCTATCTTAAGAACTTCCTATCTTAAGAACTTCCTATCTTAAGAACTTCCTATCTTAAGAACTTCCTATCTCAAGAACTTCCTATCTTAAGAACTCTATCTTAAGAACTTCCTATCTTAAGAACCCTATCTTAAGAACTTCCTATCTTAAGAACTTCCTATCTTAAGAACTCTATCTTAAGAACTTCCTATCTTAAGAACTTCCTATCTTAAGAAGTCTATCTTAAGAAGTCCCTATCTTAAGAAGTCTATCTTAAGAACTTCCTATCTTAAGAAATTGGGGCGGTCCGATGGGGGCAATTCAAACTGGGGTCCCGTGGCGGCAATTCAAATTGGGGTCCCGCGGCGAGGTGACCGTAACCCGCGCTCACCTTTAAACGCCGGGGCTATATAAGGCCGCCGCGCCAGTCATTTCGATTTTTGCGCATTCCCTCGATTTAAGATATTTCATATTAAGAACTTCCTATCTTAAGAAGTCTATCTTAAGAACTTCCTATCTTAAGAAGTCTATCTTAAGAACTTCCTATCTTAAGAACTTCCTATCTTAAGAACTTCCTATCTTAAGAACTTCCTATCTTAAGAACTTCCTATCTTAAGAACTCTATCTTAAGAACTTCCTATCTTAAGAACTTCCTATCTTAAGAAGTCTATCTTAAGAACTTCCTATCTTAAGAACTTCCGATCTTAAGCACCCTATCTTAAGAAGTCTATCTTAAGAACTTCCTATCTTAAGAACTTCCTATCTTAAGAACTTCCTATCTTAAGAACTTCCTATCTTAAGAACTTCCTATCTTAAGAACTTCCTATCTTAAGAACTTCCTATCTTAAGAAGTCTATCTTAAGAACTTCCTATCTTAAGAAGTCTATCTTAAGAACTTCCTATCTTAAGAACTTCCTATCTTAAGAACTTCCTATCTTAAGAACTTCCTATCTTAAGAACTTCCTATCTTAAGAACTCTATCTTAAGAACTTCCTATCTTAAGAACTCTATCTTAAGAACTTCCTATCTTAAGAACTTCCTATCTTAAGAACTTCCTATCTTAAGAAGTCTATCTTAAGAACTTCCTATCTTAAGAACTCTATCTTAAGAAGTCTATCTTAAGAACTTCCTATCTTAAGAACTTCCTATCTTAAGAACTTCCTATCTTAAGAACTTCCTATCTTAAGAACCCTATCTTAAGAACTTCCTATCTTAAGAACTTCCTATCTTAAGAACTCTATCTTAAGAAGTCTATCTTAAGAAGTCTATATTAAGAACTTCCTATCTTAAGAACTTCCTATCTTAAGAACCCTATCTTAAGAAGTCTATCTTAAGAAGTCTATCTTAAGAACTTCCTATCTTAAGAAGTCTATCTTAAGAACTTCCTATCTTAAGAACTTCCTATCTTAAGCACCCTATCTTAAGAAGTCTATCTTAAGAACTTCCTATCTTAAGAACTTCCTATCTTAAGAACTTCCTATCTTAAGAACTTCCTATCTTAAGAAGTCTATCTTAAGAACTTCCTATCTTAAGAACTTCCTATCTTAAGAACTTCCTATCTTAAGAACTTCCTATCTTAAGAACTTCCTATCTTAAGAACTTCCTATCTTAAGAACTCTATCTTAAGAACTTCCTATCTTAAGAACTTCCTATCTTAAGAAGTCTATCTTAAGAACTTCCTATCTTAAGAACTTCCTATCTTAAGAACTCTATCTTAAGAAGTCTATCTTAAGAACTTCCTATCTTAAGAACTTCCTATCTTAAGAACTTCCTATCTTAAGAACTTCCTATCTTAAGAACTTCCTATCTTAAGAACTTCCTATCTTAAGAACTTCCTATCTTAAGAACTTCCTATCTTAAGAACTCTATCTTAAGAACTTCCTATCTTAAGAACTTCCTATCTTAAGAACTTCCTATCTTAAGAACCCTATCTTAAGAAGTCTATCTTAAGAAGTCTATCTTAAGAACTTCCTATCTTAAGAACTTCCTATCTTAAGAACTCTATCTTAAGAACTTCCTATCTTAAGAACTTCCTATCTTAAGAACTTTCTATCTTAAGAATTCCCTATCTGTAGAAGTTTGATGGTTTTTTTCAGAAAACTTGATGCCACCTAAAAAGCCGGTGCAACCCTTCCGTTGGAGTGATGAGATCTCGCTGGAAGAGAACATCGAGTTGAATTTGACCGAAATGGCGTTTCGCCTCGAGATTGACTACCCTGACGTGGAGTGGAAAGATGCGGTATAATATCGTTTTTTTTGGAATTATTGTTTAGGTGAGCCTGCTGTCCAAAGGTGTGGCGCGACTGAAGGGTATGGAGGAGGCGCAAGTGGCTACGCTGAGGCGTGCGCACCGGTTCTACAATCCGGGCGTCACCGAGTGCAAGAAATCGACCAAGTCGGCCAGATCAGCCAAAAGTGAAGTATGTTTGGAGTCGGGTTACAGTTCTGGTACAACACATTTTGGCGGAGTATTTGAATAGCGAAGTTTTTCAGTCACTCGTTTAGACTAGCACCGCTCCGCAATCGTTGGCTGGTGACGCTGTTGAGGAGCGCGAGCGAGAAGACCGTGACACGTTGCCGACCGCCGACCCCAATGAGCGCGAGGATTTCGGCGACAATTCCGGCCGAATTGATGAAGAAGATGAGGAGGGCGTGGAACACGAAGCGGAAGCGGTGGACGAGTCGTTGATCGAGGTCGTCACGGACGATGCGGTCGGCATCAAGACCGAAGCCGAAGAAGAGGAGCAGAGCAAGGCCACCGAGCGACCCAGGGCTACGGCTCACGTCACGAAAATTGATGGGCGCCTAAAGCTGAAGATAACCGGATTGCCAATGGCGGAAGACGCCGAGCGAATGCTGATGCCGCCGCCACAGTTGTCGTCGGCGAAGAAGATCAAGGAATCCGCCAAGTCGAAGGTGCACAAATCCAGCGACTCGGCACATACGGTTGGTGGTTCGCTCAAACCCTGCCAATGTGTCGAGATGGGACTCGAGTGCGATCACCTCCCGGGCATGACCGCAGAGGTTCTCGCTTTGCTTCCGAAGGGCGTCAAAGAAGTCCCAATCGAGCCGAACGAGGTCATCAACCCGGAACAGCCACTGCTTGGGCGTGCTTTGGTTAGGCAGGAAAAGCCTGAGCCAACCCCGTGCTGGTGATCGTGGTGCAACATCTCGACGGATGTTGCTATGAATGTCGCACAATGCCGTCTGCCAATCTCAAGAACAAGTCGGTGCCAAAGGCGACTTTGAATCGTCGGATTGGCTGTCGTCTTGCGAAGCATGAAGTACTACAGATGTTAACCGATGCCGATGGAAATCCGCTGTACGCCCGCGACATTTTTCCGCGGCTCGAACCTAAGCATTACGAGCACCAGGTATAATCCCGCCTAGATCCAATTAACTTTTTTTCGTTTAGGACAGGATCTATGGTTTGGCGAAGGTCAATGTTTCCCAAACTCGTTCTCCGAGCCCGGGCCCAAGCAACACACAGGTCCGTTATTATTATGTCTATATTATGTCTTTTAGTCCCGTACTGAACAAAGCAAGGGATCGACTGAATCGGCTGCAGATGCCGAACCCGAGGCCAAGAAGTCACGCGTCGATTTCCTGTGGTAATCTAAATAGGGACATAAATAATTAAATTTCTGTATAGGTACAACCGTCTGTCTCCCCGATGCCCGCTCCGCCGTCACACGATCTGGTCCAGCAATGGATCGCGTCAAGTATGGCCGGCCCGACATCGCAACAAGTTACCGAGGTTGGAGATGGCTTTTCGCGCGGCTAAGTATGGAATTTAGGCGCCCCATGGTATCTCGTTGGCCGCATACGAAGAAGCCATTTCCCAAGGTTCAATCGGTGCTTATATTCCGGAACAAGGCGAGCTCCACATCCCGTTTGACCCAACCGCCGGAAGGCTGACAAGCCAGGTGAGCGGCTATGCATTATTTTTGGTAGACATAGTCATTTAGCGTCAGCGGCAAGATCGTGTGGTAGCGTCACACCCGGTCCTCTCGAACCAGCTGGCCGAGGAGATGGAGGCTGTGGCGGCAGCCCGGGAAGAAGCGCAAAAGAAGGCCCGCCAGCAGAAGAGGGTTTGGACTTTGTTACGGTGCTTTCTATTTTTTTGTTTAGGAGAAACTCGCCGCCTCGACGTCGACCGCTCGCGCAAAAGTCTAAAGCCGCCCACCCCAAATAGCCATTAGGCCTTTAATTATTGCACATGTTAAAAATTGTATACCCCTTCCCCCGTTCCGGCGCTTGATTTTGTTAATGCTTGATAAAATGCCTTTATTCCTCCCAAATTTGGACCGGCAATTATTGGTGAGATGTCTTTGTTGTTGATTTGAGTTGATAAATTTTGCATGTTATCTGGTGTGTTGGATAATTTGAGTTGAGACGGTCTCAGTAGCCGTGGATATCTTGTGAAATAACGTGCTGTGGGAATTGCGGTAGCTAATTATATGTTTAGTTGAGTCTTCAAATGGGTGAGCCTGAAGTAATCTATCAGTGGGATGATAAGGAGTCGGGTGAAACGAACGCCCGGCAGCTATTGATTCGGATCGCGGAGAAGCTTCTGCGCGATGGAGACGACAACCTGGACGGGGTGGTAATTTGCAATCAGTTATCGAAAAAAAATTTGATTTAGAAGTTGAAGATGCAAGAAGCGCTTGAACGGGTGCGACGTGAGGCACTCGCCGCGCAAGCCAGCCAAGAGCCGTCGTCGAGCCCACCTGGATAACTGCTGACGTTGATATTTTATTTATGGCATCGTTATCTGTTTGTTATAAAAGCTTGTTGATCCGATGTTAATCGTGTGAGGGCGTATGAAACCGATATTTGGAAGTCGTGTGAAATATCTCTTTGTATCCTATTTCTGCTGAGATTTACCCTGCAACGATTTTTAGTGGCATGAGCCAACATCAGCTCGACCGTGCCCTGGAGCGAGGCGACGACATTGGAGAAAAGCGTGAAGACATCCGCCAATTGTTTGACTACTCAATGTCGACGCAGGAGTCCGTTGAGCCAGACCCGCCGCCCGAACACCATGTCGGCGATCCAAATCTCGAGGCATCTCTGGAGGTATAGTCTGGTTAACTTAAGTTTGCTAATGAAGTTTTCATAGGATGTGGAAGAAGTGGTTGCTGAAGAGGACGGTGATGACGTTGACGAATACGACCAGCTCCTACACTACGACTCCTCCCAAGAGTCGGTAGTGGAAGTGTCCGGACATGCACACGAGCCCGCGCAACTGCCGTTGTCGCAGGCACAGGATTTTATCGACGTCTTCGACTCACCTCAGCCGGTAGCTTTTAATTGGGACTTCATCAATTAAATTTTTTTAGGCAGTTGAGCAGCCACTGCCACAGGAAGACCAACAAGAAGAGCAGGAAAGCCACCTCGTGCCTACCAGACAATACGTACCGGGATGGCATGCCGAAGCTGCATTTCAAGTGAAGACCGCACAGCTGCGCCGACTACTCAACGCAAGATACGGCGATCGTGCCGAGTCCTACTTCCGCATCAGAGCCTGTCGGGGCGTGCTCGTGCAACAATGGCGACGATTCCTTGACAAGATGGACCAGCTTGCCGAACAGGTCGAACAAGGCCGCAGCCGCTTGGTACGTTTTTCGCAAGTTACCCTCGTCATTTCCAATTCAGATCTACACGGTCGGCGTGTTCCATGGCAGCAACCAGCAAGTGCCCGTGGCCGAATGCAACACAGCCACCGAGTTCTTCCTGTCGTGCTACAGCCGGCTCAACGTTTACGAGGTGCTCACAGCGTTGGGCTACAACAATGCCGTGGAAGTCGAGGCGGATTACGATGTCGTGTTTTGCATCGAGTTGTGGCCGGAGAAGCAAATGCACACGATGCTCAACAATTGGGTCAATGACACGAGCAAGCCACACTACAGCGCCTTTGGTATCCCCTATCTGGAGGTGGAGTCGGATGCGCTCGAAATCTACAAGGAACTCATCGCCGAGGGGAAGATTCCGTGGCGTATGGCCGGCTGCATCCACCGACCGACCTATCGGAGACACACGGCCATCCTCGACAAGCTGGTCCGCGAAATGCGCCACACTTTCACGTACCGCGAACCGGTCACCGTCTATCTGATCATTGGACCGCCCGGTGCCGGAAAATCGTCATTCGCTCTGGACGTGCTCACAGGTGGCGATCCACGACAAGCATACTGGGCACAACGCGGCGACTACCAAGAAGGCTACCTCGGACAGCGTGTCTTCGTCCTCGACGAATGCTCGCAATTCTACTCGCTTGCGATACAAGGCACGTCGTCATCGCCGTTTCGCATCGAGAACCTCAAAGAGATGACGTCTAGCACCTGCCGGTTCACCATCAACAAGAAATTTGGCAGCCAGCCATTTACCTCCGAGATCATTGCTCTCATCTCCAACTATCCGCCCGAAGAATGGAGCTTGTCGGAAGAAAACGTAAGCGCTTTTAGCTACATCAATCACTAATTTTGTTTAGTTGAAACACCTGCTCGACCGCGTCCATTTCAAGATGCAATTCGACGTGACAGTGCTCTCGCCAACCCGCAAGCTCTACACGTTCAACTGGAGCAAGGGCGACGGTTTTACCCGAACTCTCAACCACAACCCGGCGCCTCCCCCGCTTCCCGGCGACTGGACCGATCTATACGTAAGGGTTCCCTTTACTTCACGTTAATTCACTTTTTAGATGCACTACCAAGCGATGGGCGAGCAGCGCAAGCAGGAGCAGCGCGAGCGCAACACGGTTCACAATTTCGCTCATCTGCATGCAAGGACCGCTCGAGACAAGGAGGAAAGCTGTATGCGCATCGTCGACCACGACCAAGAGGAAGAGGCACGGTCCCAGCGCCCAGGCCCACCCACTACACTGCGCACCCCCACCAGCAGCCAGTTGTCGCGTCAGGATTACACTCCCGAGGTCCTCAGCGACAACCGAACCATGCTAACACCGCAGATGGCCAACAGCACGGTCGCTACACCGCGTGGAACGGCTGCGGTGAAGAGACGGCGTCCGTTGCGTCAAGTGAATGTTCCGGTGAAAACTGAGGAGGAGGTAATGTGTTTCAAGTTTCTCGTCAAAGTTTCCTGTTTAGATGACGAGCATCGTTGTTGAGCCCACGCAGGAAGACCGATCAGACCCACCCCGCCGGCGCGGTCCATACATGTTGCCGATGAAGCTGGAGGACGTGGAAGACGACGATTTGCCCCGCATTCACCCTGACGCGATCAAGTGTGGCCATCGGGCCGACCATTTCACGAATGCCCCGACAAAATCGGTGCGGCACCCGGGCAAGGAATATGTGCGAGCCGATCTGATCGGTCAATCGAGGAAAACGCTCAAGTAAGTGGTTCTTTTTCGGGCACACATATGGTTTGTTTAGGCTCGGCCAACCGGTGCTCGTCTTGACGCGTGACAACAACGGCACGGTCGATTGGCGGGAAGCTCGTGTACGGTCATTGGGTGTTCAAGGCGGCATCACGTTCGAGTATTGGCGCAAGGGGCCCGATGGCAAACTCGGATGGCACCCATATCCACAACGTCACGGATCGCTAAGCAATTGCCCCCACCCGTCGCTTTATGTCTTCCCACCTGACCCACAGCCATCTGGCTCTCGCGACCTCGTCCCCTAAATGCCAAAATGCATTGCTACAATTTTAATCCATCGCCCCCTGAATGCAATTCGTTCCCCCTTTTTCCTGGTTGCCGCTTGCTCACAATTAACCAACCCCGTCCCATTCTAATCCGTTGTTACTTGTTGATAAAAATTACTAGCCAGAAAAATGTGGTGGGATTACGGAGTCGGTTAATCACCGCGGCTATCTATGAAGGTGTTGGAGATTTTTAGAGTAACCATTCTTTAGTCATCCGACAATGTCTCAACAATGGCGTAGGTATTGGGTTACACCGTTGACCCATTGCCCGGGACGAAATGCCGAGCTGTTCGGCAAACATCAGGAGGACATTCGCAAGTTGTTCGGAGGACGGCTTCGGGTATGAACAATTACTGATATCTTTACTTTTTTATGCTTTAGCACATGAAAGTGGTCGACGAGTTGCCGCCGGAGGTGTACAACAATGTATTTCGCCCGATACGTCCCCTCAACGTCACCACCAACGTTCAACCTCCCTCCTCACCGATATTGACAAGATCCCTTCGGCAATCGTTAATGCAATGCCCCATTTCCCTCTATTCTTTGACCGATTGTTGTTACTTTGTTTGGATATAATTCGCACATTAATAACGAATAAATCGTGTTAGCGAAAATCGGGAGTGTTTGTGGCTAATTGGTACGAGTCCTTGTCACTCTACAAATACCTGTTCGTGGTTGATTGGAAACGTCTCAATTTGTCGATTTAGTGCAAAATAAGTGAATATGCAGGCCGGCCCGGAAATCGTCCCTGAGCGTGTTGAAGCCGACGAATTCCCCGAGGTGATGATGACTGCAAGAAATTTGAAGGTAATTTTCCGCGGTTCGGTTGAGTTAATTGGATGTGTTTAGAGGATTCGAGAGGAACTTCGACTTGCCCATGCGCAGCACTCGCAAGCCATCGACGCTGCACACCTAGCTGATGAGCGTCGCACCGCTGCACTGATGAGATGCCGTGAACTCAGTGATCTCGAGGGTCAAGCCATCGATGCGTTGGACCGGGCGCTCCTCCAAGAGATTGGCCATATCCCTTTTCGGCATAACTAACCGTTGTTGTTTTTGTTTACTTGTAATGATAAAATATTGATTTGTTGGAATTTGGCTGTTTGTTGAATGCTTCGAATGGTCATATGGCCAATACGTTATCTATGCAAATATTAGCAAGTTTACCTAACCTATTTGTTTAGCAAATGAGCACTCCCTTGGAGACTCTGATGAAGATGGATGGAGGTGATGACGGCGATTCGGACAAGGAAAACAAGCAGATCGAATTCGACGACTCGTCCTCGCCTGACAGCAGCGAGAGCGATCGAGATGAAGAGGCCAGCCGTTCGAGTACGACGAGCAACACAAGCAAAAGCCTGACGACCTCCTCGAGGAAGCGACGATTCGGTGGAGGGCAGGCCGGAGCCAAGAAGCGATCACCGGTGATGCGAACGACTCATTGCGACTGTGACATCGGTGACGACACTCTGCCGCATTTCTGTAGAGGTTGGTTTTTTTGATTGGTCTCGTGATACAATGTTTAAATTTAGCTTTCGGCAGATGGATCGCGCGAGTGCCGATCACCTCGCAGGACGCCTGGATGAAACTCACGCCAATCTCGCTGGTGATCGTCTACAAGGCACGAAACTACAACGGAGAGATCCCCGAACGCGAATTCACCATCGGCGTTCCGAAGGGCTGTACGCGAACAAACGTGCCACGTATCAGTGCACTCAGCGATGGAGATGCCGAACAAGTTGCCGATACGCCGTCGGAATGGTTCAACAATCCGGCCAACTTCGAACCATACTGGAAACGCGTCGGCAAATACTACACCCAGCCATGCTGCGACGCTTTTGACGGCAAGCACATTTATCAACTGGTGCCCGTTTCGGATGGTCTGGCTGCCGTGTCTCGGTTTGTCTCGTTTTCACAACCTTGACGTTTTTTTAGTGACGCCACCCAGACGGAGATGGTCGACGCCAAGGAGGAAGAGAAGGTGCAAGAGAATGTGGAAGAGCCGGCTGCCATGGAGGAGGAGAAGGTGCACGTGAAAGAAGAAGAAAAGTAAGGGATCACCGTATGCATATACCTGTGTTTAGACCGGAGGTGGTCATCACACCAATGGAAGAAGTGATCGAACAACGTCACGAGGAGCAACCCGAAGAGCTGGAGGTGGCTGAAGTGAAGACGGATGTTATGCTCCAGCCGACCTTGTCCAACAAGATGCAAACCAAGACGGCAACCGTCGGCATCAACACCATCACAATTGACGCTGAGGCAAAGGTATTACAGAACTGTTTAGTATTCATCATTTTCATTTGTTGCAGCTGAAGCGCCAGAAGACATTCGCCTATCTGCTGAATAGAGCTCGCTGCGCCGCCGTCAGGGAACAAAAGGCCAAGGCACGTCACACGCACCTTCTGGCCGAAATCGCCACCAAGCAGGCGAAGCTCGCAGCATTGGACAAGGAACGCGCCGACCTGAAACAAGAGATTCTGCTGCTGGAAACGGACGAATTCGACGTCGAATATGAAGTAAAAACCACTCGCGACGAGCACCATTCTGCCAACCAAGCCGTGCTCAAGCACTTCCAAGAATTTTGAATGCATAGCCCGAATGTACCCACTGTTGTTTTGTTCCCCTGCTTGCTATAAATATTGTTTGACTACCTTTCGGTCTACTGAGGTTCATTGCGACGGGTCTGATACCCCGGATATTTGTGCTGTTGATGATCCCATGTTGATTGCATACCGTGTTTAGAGCTTGGAGAACGTTTGGATGAGCTACGCCAGTAGCTTTGATCTCATCGGAAACGAGCAGCTCGATGTGCAGCCATCGATTGTTGTCGTCGATTTGGTAAATTTGGTTGATGTGATCGTTTTTACCGTTTTTTCCTTCAGACTGGTGACGAGAACGATGCTGTGGCGCCGGCAAAGACGGGCTCCACCAACACACCAGTACCCAAGGTCGAGCCGCAACCACAGCACATGACTCCGGTTTCCTCTCGCACTCCCGCCACGACCTCGTCCACAATGAAGCGCACGTTCCCCCTCAAAAGGACCGCCCGTGCATTTGAGGCCTTTGTCACGCCGACATCGGCTGTCGTGAAGCTGACGAAGGGCGTGAGACGTGAACGGCCCGGGCACGATCGTTTCAAAACCCCGATTCGCTGCACTTGCGATTTCGACAAGTTGCTCAAGGAGGCCGGCGAAAGTAAGAGTTAGTATTTCCGCTCTCAAAGTTTTTTTTTAGTTTGCGGCGGCAACATCTCGTGCATCGCTGTCACGACCGCCCAGGAGTTCAATAACCTCGACCCTAACTCGCCTATCCTGGTTCAATGCGAGACGAGGTGCAGCGGGGCGCGTGTGCTCAAACTGGCTCTTCCCGACAAATACGACCCGCTCGACCCACACCGTCGTCCTCGAGTGCTTCCACTTTCGGTGAGTAGGCGCTTTTCGGGCTTTATTGACCCATCTTTTTAGAGAAATGAGTTCGATACGATTCGGCACACGGGAATAGCATGGTCTCGCGACATGCTACCGCCTATTCACCGGGTCCCGCTCTTCGTCAACTGTGAAGACCCCTTCAGCGAGTGGCCGGTGAACAACGGAGCTAACCGCCACGTGTACCGCGTCGTCTTCCCCGGATAAGCCCCATATTGCTTTTGCATCTTGAACACACCTAATAGTTGTTTGCTCTGCCCCCAAAATATTTATTCGTTTTGTTGAATGCGCCCCATTTCTACCCCTTGAAACTTACTATTCACAAATTTCCCTTAGCCAATAAATAAGTTTACTAAAACCCATTTTGTTGGAGTTGATCTGCCCAGTTGGTTGACTGGTTCGATATATCTGTTCAGAATGTGGGCTCGCTATATGCTTTTTTAGACAAACAAGCTTAAACCAAGAATGAACTCACCACCGGTCACCCCGAAGAGCCGTCGCCAGTCGGGCACGCACGAAAAGCATCAAGATCAACATGTGATTCACCTCCCGCCAGACGCGAGGGCCATCACCTTGAATATGCAGGTAATGCAATTCGTCTAATCAGTCATTATCTTAACCTAGTTGCCACGTCCCACGCTGCGCGACGTTCTTAACAATTATCTACCGTCGACTGAACGCATGCCCAACCAGTACACGAAGACCATTACCATTCCGGCCAGCGCAACCCAGGTCAAGCTCATATTCGAGGTACTTGTTGGGTCGGTAACGTCATAATCGGTTTTAGACGCCCGACAGCCAACAAGACGAGCAGGCTGGCTCGACGAAGCGCACCCGAAGAAGCTCATGCGGCCATGACGAGGAACACTTTTCGAACGTACCGACCAAGTCGCTGCGCCATCCGGGCAAAGAATATGTTCGTGCGGATATCGTGGGCAAAGCTCGGAACACGCTCAAGTAAGGATTGTCTGGCAATTTGTAACTGAAGATGTTTAGGGCCGGCGAAATGGTTCTCGTCTTGACGCGTAACAGTCGTGGTGCGACGAAATGGCGAGAGGGACGAGCCGCACCGATGGGATCACGTGGAGCTGTGCCGATCGAGTACTGGCGCCAAGGAGACGACGGCCAATGGGGATGGAAGCAGTACGCCGGTCAACATGGAGCACTCATCGCCTGCCCGCATCATACGCTCTATGTTTTCCCCCCTGATCACGCTCCCTCGGCCACCTCTTCAAAGTTGATCCCTTGAACGGCTAAAATTGTTATTGCATTACTTGTTTGTCATCCATATTGCTAATGTTGAATTGATACGTTGTTGAAGATAAATAATTTGCTATACGAAGCTGTGTGGCCGCTTCCAATATGGGTCCTAAAGACCCAGAAGTATTTTGATCATCAACTTTGCCACGCAACCCTATTCAACGACTGGTTTAGCCAATCAAGCTTAAATCAAGAATGGATTCTCCACCGAAAGCCCCGTCGGATGCACAACAAAACCATCGCGGTGAACTTGTCATTCACCTGCCACAAGACGCGAAGGACATCTCCATGGATATTCGGGTAGCCTGATTGGATCGACTAGTTGATATTCATTATTGCAACTTAGATGTCCCGTCCCGTGTTGCGCGACGCTTTCAACAATGATCTGTCGTCGGCTGACCGCACGCCCATCCAGCACATCAGGACCATTGTCATTCCGGACAACGTCACTCGGATCACACTCGTATTCGATGTACTTAGTGACTTTTCAAACTTAAAATATACTTTAGACGGCTATCACTAAGAAGTTGCGTGCTGAGAAATGCGGACATCTCGATGCGCACTTCGTCGATGTGCCAACCGACTCCGTGTTCTTCCCCGGCAAGAGCTACGTTGAGTTGTCCACTATTGGTCTCTCGAAGAAGGATCTAAAGTATGGTTTCAACATCATTCCTAATTTTACTTCTAGGATTGGCGACAACGTGCTCATCTTGATGAAGGGCACGACGTCAAAGATGGTGTGGCGTGAGGCAAGGGTTCGATCAAAGGGCGTTCGTGGTCCCAACCTCGAATTCGCAAAATGGGCCGAGAATGGACAAGTGTGCTGGTACCGAATCCCGCAAAGACACGGCTGTATCCCCAGGTGCTCCCACCCGTTCATTTATATTGTTCGCCCCACCCCCGATCCCCAGCAGCCATGCTGCTCCAAGACTTTGCATCCTTGAGCTGTTGTTATGCATGAATATTGTTAATTTGGCATTCATACTATGTTGAAGATAAATAATTTGTTGTCTAAAGAGTCTTTGAAATGTTTGGTGGGTTCGAAGACTTGGTCAGTGTGCCATTATTATCTCGTTCTTTCCGAAACCTCATATCCCATAGGCTTCAGAAAATGCCGCTGGTTGCCGACCGTTATTGGATCACGGTGCTCACGGGAGACAAACTACACGATGTCGAATTGTTCGGCAGGCACTTTGATGCTGTCTACGCGTACACTGGGCGCCACTTGGTAATTTATTCTTGTTCGAGTTAATGATTCTTTCCTTTCTAGTCGGCAAGCATCTACGACACGTTACCTGCTGGATGCGTGCTCGATATCGCGGACATGATGGGCGCTATGAATGTACGAGACGCGAACCATGCAAAGGGCTACGTGATCACCAACATCTCGACCAATGAAGGCATCTCTCCTTGATTCTTGTATTAAATTTGCATTTTATTGAGCTCCTACCTCATACCTGATGACCCCCTGTTGACCAGAAAAAATGTTCCCCTGATTTCTCACCCGTTTATTGCTGAGTTTTCGGTCGCTAATTTGTTGAAGATAAATAACTTGTTAGTTGAAGCGGTGTACTGTCTATCTATCCGGGTTTTAATGACCTCAGAAATATTTTCTCGTTGCCAACGGCGCCACTTAACCAGATTTAGACCACCAATGGACCTTACGACGATCGACGTGTGGGAGGAAATCAAGTTGCACGTTTTGCGGTTGCATGGCTCCGATCGAGATCGTCGTGCCCAACTACGCGAGTTCAGAGGCCACATTGTGAACATCACCGATGATGACGTCGAGGTATCCTTTCTATTGAGATTTCCACAATCGTTTAGGTGTTCCCGCCATATATTCTGACTGAAGTCCCGGCACGAGCCGGCAGCGAGGGCCGCAACTATCTGGAATGGATGTGGCACCATTTCGACGAGCCCGATCTTCCACGCGGCAGTTATGCACTCGCCTTGGTCTCCTCCGATGGAAGTTTGATCGCTCCGAAAAATGTCGACGGGTTCCCGATCTATACGTGTGCCATGCGATTCATTCGAAATAACGAGAGACATCTTTACATTCATTGATTGTAGCTCTGTCCCATGTACGCATTGCTATGTTCATGTAATATAACGGGCATATTTTCGTTCTAAATAAGTATCCTATTATATCGCTTGTTGTTGATTTAATCAATATTGTTTTCGGCAAAGTCCCCGTTAGATTCGTTGTTTGTGGTTATCGCGATAAACATTAATGTTTTGAAAAGTTTGTTGGGCTCGAAGGATTGGTCAAGGTGCCATTATTATCTCAAATAGTTTTTTGATCTGTATTTTTAACATCGATTTTAGCATGGACGACCCGTTCGTGACTTACTGTGGAACCTTTTTTGGAGGCGCGCTTGGCGCAAACAACGTCGCAAAAGCCCAGGACAAGGAGCCGCCTCGCGTCCAGCCCGTCGCGGGACCCGAGGAACAGAAGCCTCACACCACCAACACCCCGGTTGAACCCGAAGACATGAAGCCGGACATCAAGCTGATCCCTCTCACCAAGAACCATACCTGATCACTGCTATTCTCACAATGCTGATAAAGGTTTTATTATGAGAAAATGATTTTTCTGTTGTTGAAGTCGGGTCATAGAGGCCCTAGAAAATATTTCGTATCTCGGAGGGAACACTATAACTTATTCAGAAAATGCCCGACTGGACGGTGCCACAAGTACCTCTCGGCACCATTCACACAGTCAAGTTGGACGACACGGATGAAGCTCGGCGGCGCGCTCAACTGCAAGAACACCGAGCGAAAGTGGTCCGTATCACTGAGGGCCGATTTCATGTATGCTTTATTTTCTTCGCTATCCACATATTTCTTTTAGACAGAGCCACCGTATGCGATTTGCGTCGTCCCCGAGCAGCCCGATCCGAACACATTCTACTACCTGCCATGGCTACTCGCAAAATGTTCGATCCCTCCGTATGCGCCTGGTACTTATGCCGTCACAATTCTCGGTCCCACAGGCGGCCTCGTCAGCCCCACTCAGAATGGCAGAATGTTTTTTTTCGCTGGAGATAACCCGTGCCTCATCACCCAATTCACCTAATTTTGCCAACTTATCCAATTTATCTTCCGATAATTATATTTTCCTTCAAGTCTCCACCTCTACCCCCGGCTTGATTCACTAAGATACTTTGTTTCATCATTGTACATTTCCTTTTCATATTGTTCTCTCCTAATTCACAAATTAATTTTTATTGCCGTTGAATAAACTGTTTTTACAAAAAAAAAGTCTTTTTTTGGGGAAATGCACGATATGGTTAACACACTCGGGCGCTCCAAAGTAAAAGAAAGTGTTGTTGAAATTGTTAAGTCCTGCTCTAGCTCCTGCTCGGGTGACCTATCAGGATTCGCTTCTCAGGACATCATGCCTTATTTTAAAAAGTTAAATATACCAATCGATTCGTCTCGCCGAGACGAACATTTTGATATATTTATTATTGCTGTAGCGTTAAATTTGACTGTCGTTTTTATTTGCTGCCCCAGCTACAGTAGCGACAGCGGCTGGGTCCCACCACGAGGCCACCGTAACGCGGGGAGCTACATAAAGAGGGCGCCGAAGACCCTTCGCATTTTTGCGCTTTTTTTCGGGTTAAGATATTTTCGATGCCTACTTCTCGGGGTTTATTTCTCGGGATTGATTTCTCGAGATAGCAACTTCTCGGGATAGCAACTTCTCGGGATAGCAACTTCTCGGGATAGCAACTTCTCGGGATAGCAACTTCTCGGGATAGCAACTTCTCGGGATAGCAACTTCTCGGGATAGCAACTTCTCGGGATAGCAACTTCTCGGGATAGCAATTTCTCGCGATAGCAACTTCTTGCGATAGCAACTTCTTGCGATAGCAATTTCTCGGGATAGCAATTTCTCGGGATAGCAATTTCTCGGGATAGCAATTTCTCGGGATAACCACTTCTCGGGATAACCACTTCTCGGGATAACCACTTCTCGGGATAACCACTTCTCGGGATAACCACTTCTCGGGATAACCACTTCTCGGGATAACCACTTCTCGTGATCGTATTTCTCGTGAACGCACTTCTCGTGATCGCATTTCTCGAGATAGTGCTTCTCGGGATAGCACTTCTCGGTATAGCACTTCTCGGGGTAGCACTTCTCGGGGTAGCACTTCTCGGGATGACAAGTTCTCGGGATGACAAGTTCTCGGGATTTTTGAGATATTATGATAGTTGTAGGGTTCAATTGGACGGTGGTATTTTATTTGCTGCCCCAGCTACAGTAACCACATGGGCTGGGTCCCGCCACGAGGTCACCGTAACGCCGGGGCTATATAAGGAGGCCGCCGCAGACCATTCGTATTTTTACGCATTTTTCGGATTGAGATATTCCTGAACATACTTCTCGTGATCCACGTCTTAGAATAGCTTCTCGGGATGGCTTCTCGGGATAGCCACTTCTCCTGATTTGCTTCTCGGGATGGGAACTTCGTGGGAGTGATTTCTCGAGATAGCAACTTCTCGTGATGACTTCTCGTGATGACTTCTCGTGATCGCGCTTCTCGTGATCGCACTTCTCGTGATAGCACTTCTCGCGATCGCACTTCTCGCGATAGCACTTCTCGCGATAGCACTTCTCGCGATAGCACTTCTCGCGATAGCACTTCTCGCGATAGCACTTCTCGCGATAGCACTTCTCGCGATAGCACTTCTCGCGATAGCACTTCTCGCGATAGCACTTCTCGCGATAGCACTTCTCGCGATAGCACTTCTCGCGATAGCACTTCTCGGGGTTGACTTGTAATTCTCAAGAGGGTTTTCGGGGTGCGCAGAAATGACAACCTTGAAGTATTTCTTTAGGTAGTGAACAAAAAAAGGCCAATGGCTCCGAAAAAGGAAGCACCAGCTTCGTGTGGAATCCGGCTCTGGACGCCGAGGAAAACGTCGAAATGCTGATGATTCAGCTGGGATTGCATCTGGAAAGACAAAATGGTGGCGTTTGGAAGGCCGGGGTACTGCGTTGTTTTAGGTTTATGACGATTTATTTTAGTTAAAGACCCTGCAGGACGGGCTCAACCGCGTCGGGGCGCTCACCGAGTCGCAAGTCGAGGCCTATCGACGTGCTTTCCGTCATGTCGACTCGGGCACGGGCTTGGCTGGGAAACTCGTAGCTCCTCCGAAAGGCTTGCCGGAGGTATATGGCTTGAGCTTGATCTATGGCAACGTTTTTTTTTAGGGAAAGGTGGTCGTCAAAGCGACGGTCCCCAGCGACGGTTCGGTGGTTCTGGGAGGTGGCGACGAGGGTTCTCGTGGAGAAGATCCACATGGGCTGGATCTCTCGTTGAGCAGCGACGACGTGATGGTGGGGAAGGATGGCGTTGAGATCGAGGATGATGCCGCCGACCCGGAGAAGGCGCTCGAGGAAGACGACGGCAAGGGTGATCAGCGGCTCGACGAGATGGCGAAGGTGATCGACCCGGACGATGCTGAACGGATCGTCGACAACCGGGAACCGATTGTCATCAAGTTCCCTGCCCACATTTGGAATGCGACGTCGTCGGAAATGCCCCCCCCGGCGCTGCCAGTCAAGAAGACGCAAGTATTCTTCCGTTCGACCGACTCCACTTACACGGCAGGTGGAAGCAAGAAGCCGTGCTCGTGTAAGCAAAAAAAGGCGGAAGTCGCGAACATGCCGCCGATGAGCGAGGAGATGAAAAAGCTGTTCCCGGCCGGCACCACTATGAAAACGATCGAGCCGGATGAAATTATTGGTGCCGGACAGCCGCTGTTGGGACGAGTGCTCACACTTATCGAGGGAGTGATGACGGCCGTGCTGTGTATGATCATATCGCACCACGAGGGCCAGTCATTTGAATGTCGCACCCTTCCATCGGCGAATCTGAAGCATTCGAGTGTCCCGAAGGCTCGAAAAAACCAAAATTTCGGTTGCCGCTTCGCTGCCCACGACGTTCTGCAAATGTTAGTTGGAGAGAATGGTGAGCCGCTCTTGGCAAAAGACCATTTCTACAACCTGCGGCCGGAACATTATTGTCACCAGGTATAACGTCATTTGCGAATGCTAATTTTTGCTTGTTTAGGAGGTGGCTCCTCGAAAAGTCGCGAAGAGGTTGGCAGTTGATGAGGACAAGGACTCTGCCGAGCCGATTACCAAGCACCCCCGTGTCGAGCCCGTTTCGCCAATTCCCGCAACGGACGCGAAATCCACCACTGATGAATGGGTAGCCGCAACGAGTAGTGCTCAGGTATGAATGTGCTACCAATTGATATGGTTCTGGTTCTAGGAATCGCAGGATGTCGACTTCGTGGCCGCATATGAAGAAGTGAGCGCCTCGCTGCCGGTAATTCCACCACAAGGGGAGTTCGTCTTCGATCCCACCGCTCAGAGAGCTCAAGGCCAGGTACGCAATTTAGAAGAATTTCTTTGATGAGTTTGTTCTTTAGCGTCAAGCCAAGCTGATCCCGCCACGGCCCCTCCCGGCGAAGAAGATGAAGGGTCCCGCTGCTCGCCGTCAACTTGAGCCGTGAACAGAGTTATCCCCGTTGTTGTGTTTGTTATGTTTTGTTTGTTGATTTAAATCTGCACTGGCTTTTTATGCTCGATAAAAGCTTTAGTTTAAAAAAATTGCAAGATTTGGGGGAAATGCACAATATGGACACTTGAAAAAAACTTATGAATTTTTGTTTGGCAAAAAAATGGTATACATCAGAATACACACCCACACCACCGCAACTTGTCACAGAGTTTCAAATCTTGTTGCTGGGTATCGTCGTGGTGGTCGAGGTATCATTGATGTGGTGTAATATAAGTGGGGCAGAGCCGAAGATACGCCCCATAGCCGAATCCCCCTTCAAAAACTACCTAAACATCGTCGAAACGCGCGAGCAGGCTTCAAACATCATCTTGCTCTGTCAACGCCGCTCTCGGTCTTCTAGCTGGGAAAACGGAATCTCCTCGGCGTTTCGAGCAAATAACCATGAATCATAGAATAAGAAATTACCTAACATTTCTAAAATCAACAATGGTCGTGCAGTCTAATGCCTTCGCCGTGTTGACGCGTCCCTGCACGCCTTCGATCGATCGGACGACGACAAAATTCACAAAAACTTAAATTTAATGTCGAAAACATGTGATTTTGTAAAATTTGATATGTGTGCAGTCATCCCAAGACCATTACGCTCCTAATGACGTATCATACGTACCTTAAAATCCATCCCCTATCGAGATATCCTCCGGACAGACAGACGGAAGTGGATGCAAAGTGGCACACACACACAAACAAGACGCGTCCTTCGCCGTGTTGACGCGTCTCCCTGCACGCCTTCCATCGATCGGACGACGACCTATAAACTAGCGTGGGCAATTTGTTCGATTCGAAATTCGTGCCGAATATTTCGCGAGCCCGAATATCCGAACCATCGTCGTTGGCCCGAATTTCGGATCGGGCAACCCCAAACTTGGGTAATTGAACCGAATCCCCAGAGGTGGTGGCCACTCTTGCCTCCGTACGGTGGGCCAGGTAGACGTCTTTCGCTTTTACGCATTTTCTTTTGGTTCAATTATCCGAGTTTTGGGTTGACTGATGGCCAGAATTTCGGTGGGACCTCTGAACAGATGTTTTTAGCCATCTGCTCGGAGGCGAGAAGTGTCGGTAAATGATAAGGTCTCATAGCATTAATGGAAGGCTGTTCTCACCAATCTGAGTACGATAACCACGCATTCCAGAAATCATCTTTCAAGACGGTTAGCTTTGACGAAACCAGCTTTTTGAAGAAACCAGCTTTAAACATGCATTTTTATTTTACACTCTTTTTAAAATTGAAGTTAACTTCTTCTTCTTCTTCACTTACTTCTTCCTTTATTGTGATACGACTGGAACATACGGACGGAAGTTGCATGCAAATGCACATACACACAAACACTATTTTTTTATATATTTAGAACACACCAGGGTTGAAAAGCCGCTTCGCGACTTTTCGACCCTGGCCCCGTCTGACCCTACTGCTTCCTAAATCTTTACACAATTACCCTGCATTCTGATGACAAAAAATGAAAAACAACGGCTTCTGGCCCTTTATATATTCGAATCGCCACTTCCGGTCTATGCTATTTTTTTCTAACAAAGAAGTTTTCACAAAAAACTTAAATTTAATGTCGAAAACATGTGATTTTGTAAAATTTGATATGTGTGCAGTCATCCCAAGACCATTACGCTCCTAATGACGTATCATACGTACCTTAAAATCCATCCCCTATCGAGATATCCTCCGGACAGACAGACGGAAGTGGATGCAAAGTGGCACACACACACAAACACTATTTTTTTATATATTGTAGGATAGTTGGGTATCGACGGGGTGGTAGCGGTGGCATTAATGTGACAACTTATTTGTGTCGGTGCGGGTTGTGGTGTTAACCAGGCATATTCCGCCCGCTTCCTGCATTAAGGACCGTGTCTTTACTTTAGTTGTGAAATACATATATTCAGTAATTCCGTTACCGTTAAACTTTTAAGTCCCCTTCATTCATGCTAATTTTCCCGGTCCTCATCCACTTACACAGTTTGTTGCTTGATACCCCATTTATTGCTTGTTGAAGTTTTCCATTGTTGAAGATAAATTGCTGATATACCTGTCCATCGCCAGAGTCGATATACATCAGAATACACAACCACAAAACTGCAACTTGTCACAGAGTCTTAAAATTTTGTTGTTGAGTATCGTCTAGGTGGTCGAGGTGGCATTAATGTGGTGAAATATTAGTGTTGGTGCGGGTTGCAGGGTTAATCAGGCAGATTCTATCAGTTTCCTGCATTAACAACGGTGTATATACTTTAGTTTTCGAGATATATATACTCGGTAATTTTCAAGGCACGATTGCTGCTCCATTTGTCGGATTGTCACTCGATGGACTAGCGGCAACGACCAACCGACTACAGGTCGACGGCGCGGCTACCGGCAACGCCCGATTCATCACTCCTTGCTTGACCCATGATAAGGACAGCGTGGCTAGCGGCAACGCCCGATTGATCCTACCCTTGCCTGATTCCTCATAAAGACGGCGCGGCTAGCGGCAACGCCCGATTCATCCTACCCTCGCCTGATACCTCACCTAGACGGCGCGGCTACCGGCAACGGCCAACTTGTGCCTCTCCGACGGCGCGGCTACCGGCAACGAGCAACTTGTTAAACACTTAGAGGCACAACACTTAAAAATTTTATCCCAGTACCCGGTCAGGGCCTTGAGTGGTGGCTGGAGAGCTTTAGCTCTCCGGTTGTCAATATACCGCACGCACATCCACACCCCCACTCCTCATCATTTCCGAACTGACCTCTCATTGGTGGATTCCCTCCCTCTTCCCGGCCGACCCGTCAGTGGTGGCCCACCCGGCAGTGGTGGAGCCGCCCCAGGCATGGGTGGTCGTGGGTCGGCTTGATCGTCTTACTATCCACAATTTCGAAAACTTCCGTGGCGGGAGGGGCATGGGTGGTGGCGGGAGAGGCATGGGTGCTTGGGTGTCTATAGATCGTACTGCCCCGCAATCAAATGAAGGGCGCGATAAGCGCCCCGTGGTCCACCAAGTCACCCCTAAGCCTAAGCCTAAGCCTAAGCCTAAGCCTAAGCCTAAGCCTAAGCCTAAGCCTAAGCCTAAGCCTCCAAGCCTGGCCTCCAAGCCTAAGCCTAAGCCTAAGCCTAAGCCTAAGCCTAAGCCTAAGCCTAAGCCTAAGCCTAAGCCTAAGCCTAAGCCTAAGCCTAAGCCCTAAGCCTAAGCCTAAGCCTAAGCCTAAGCCTAAGCCTAAGCCTAAGCCTAAGCCTAAGCCTAAGCCTAAGCCTAAGCCTAAGCCTAAGCCTAAGCCTAAGCCTAAGCCCTAAGCCTAAGCCTAAGCCTAAGCCTAAGCCTAAGCCTGCTCCAAGCCTAAGCCTAAGCCTAAGCTCCAAGCCTGGCCTAAGCCTAAGCCTAAGCCTAAGCCTAAGCTCCAAGCCTAAGCCTAAGCCTAGGCCTCCAAGCCTAAGCCTAAGCCTAAGCCTAAGCCTAAGCCTAGCCTGCCAAGCCCAAGCCCCCAAGCCTAAGCCTAAGCCTAAGCCTAAGCCTAAGCCCAAGCCTCCAAGCCTAAGCCTGCCTGCTCCAAGCCTAAGCCTAAGCCTAAGCCTCCAAGCCTAGCCCCAAGCCCTAAGCTCCAAGCCTCCAAGCCTAAGCCTAAGCCTGCTCCAAGCCTCCAAGCCTAAGCTCCAAGCCTAGCCTGCTTCCAAGCCTAAGCCCAAGCTGCCTCCCAAGCCTGCCTGCTTCCAAAGCCCAAGCCTGCTTCCGCTTCCAAGCCTAAGCCCAAGCCTGGCTTCCGCTTCCAAGCCCAAGCCCAAGCCTGAGCCTAAGCC